TTCCTCATAAAATTGTATCTTGATGTGTGTTTGTTTTTCAATATCATTAGCATCGCAAGATTTGTTTAGTTTACACGTCTGTAATGCACACCCCCTTTTTTGTGAACCACCAATAACCTTTGCAATAGGCAGTAGAAGAAACAATCAAATTTCATGAAGGCAAGCGACCCGAGAGAGCGATTCGCAACGCTGCCGTCGCTATCGTGTCCCGTGTGTCGGGTTTCACCCTGGCTGCGATGACAGCCATTAATCACTGTCATTTGACGCTCCCCGTGTGTCGAGCCCATAAGAATGGTCGATAAGCAGCTGAACAATCTACGTGCAGTCACGAAGTTCACCTTCCACTGTCACCGCACATCTTCCATAGTCTAACGCAACACACGAAGACAAAGCAGAGCTCCTGTAAAACCTCTCTCACTGCGTATGTGTCACAGCTTGGGGTTTCTTCCAGCTGGAATTTCCACTCTGAAATCCACAGTTCGCTTGGCAACAGATTTGTCACAGTTAAAGTGCCACTCTGGATTTATGCTTTTTTTTACTATCTTTATAAGTGTATGTTTTCGATACAACAGTTGGCTTCTAAAACTGGATTAGTTGAAGCAAAAATGCTGCCATTGCTGTCTGAGCACTTTTCAGCATTAAACTAACACGCCCACAAACTTCTGACCAATCACACAATAACTCTGTATGCTAAAGCGGGGAAAAGTTTGGCGTGGAACACAAGGCTGAGAACAAAATTACAGGATTTTTTTATCACGCAACTACATCAGTGAGAGCAGATTCAGCAGATTTGGATGAACCATGCAGAGGTCTTAAATCTACACAGCCAAATAAACAGAGGATATTCAAGAGCAGGCTTAAAATGAAGAGGTATGAGCTGTGTGAGTACAAAACAAAACAAAAACACACACACACACACACACACACACACACACACACACACACACACACACACACACACACACACACACACACACACACACACACAAAATAAACTGACTTTTATATAGTCAGTAATAATGTTAGCTGTGATCTCTTGCTTGTTCAGTCTGCACTCAGCTTGTGTTGTGGATGACTTTCAGCCACACCCACAAATTTTAGCTCAATGTTTATAGAAAATACTTACAGTTTTGTGATTGCTAATGTTGACTTGCTGTAACAGTCATCTTTAACTGGATTGACTCCAAAAGTTAATCAGTTGTAAATACTCACCCCATCAAATCTGTCAAGTGGTTCATGAGATATTTTGCTAACAGACATACAAACAAATGAACACACACAGACTGAGGCAATCACGTGATCGCCACCTTTCATGTCAACAGGCGATGATTACCTTAAAATTCTAAATGTTAATTAGTATTTAATACAGTTTTCACTGGATTTAGGTATAAATGTGATTAAAATGTTATCAGCTGAAGAAATTTAGAGTAAAAGACTGCAAAAGAGCTACAAAAGTTCCAGTTTTACCCCGGTGGCACATGCCAAAACAAGCTACAGTTCAGTCAAGTAAGAGCAGCTCTAGCCCACAAACAAAGCAGCTTATCAAAGCTGACGTCAGAATTCAGACCATCAGGGTTTAAATAATCCTTATCTGATGCTGCTGGAGATCAGTGCCTCATCTGAAAATCCAGATTGGCCGTCAGACGGTGTCAGTTAAAAATTACTGCATTATCTTGCATCTTTGGTCACAACTATATGAAAAATACTTCTCTACATTTGAGCTGAAACAAGGTTACATAAATAAAGTTTATTTTCTTCAGATGTGCAGTGTCAAAAAGAAATTCAGTGTTCAATGTTTAGATCAAAAATCAAATATACATAGAAAGTACATATAGAAATACAAAAAGTTAAATTAAATTAAAGCAACCATAAAAATAAAATTGGCAGCTTTTCTTATACGCTTTGGAATTTTTGTGGAAGTAGAACACTGCACCAACTAAACAACGTTCATACATTTACCCGCAAAAGCTGCCTCTGAAACCTTCAGAAGCTCATTTAGATATAAAGCAGCCCTGAGCTTTACAGAAGAAAAGCCACCCCTGCACTTCAGTAGCATGTTTATGCCAAGGGCAATAATAAAAAAAAGGAACACTTCTCTATTCCATTGGCATCCAGTGAAAGGAGAAGGAGCCACATTAGCAATCATGAAGCAGCTTGTTGGGTTGCTATTTCATCTCTACTGATTGCATTTATTATCTCTGAAACTAATATCAAGTTGGGGAGGGGGTGTATGTGAAAAGGTCATCAACGTACACCAATGCTGATAATCATGTCATTTCAATGAGATATACATTTAAAACAGATTAAAAACCAACACAAGGGAATAAATTACAATGATAGAATCCAAGGACCAAATGAGGTAACAACTGTACATTTGATACGAACGCATATTGCAGACATTAATCTAGCAGACTAATTAGGACGTCTTGCAGCAGCCGACGGTTAGAATATGGATCTGATGGTAAATAAATATATGAAATATCAAGGCACGACAGTGGCTGTAACACAGAAAAATGAGCCTAACTGTAAAAACTCTGATTTAGGCACCCATTAGTGAACTGGGACAAGATTAAATATGAAAATGGAAAATCCAAGCAAGCACCATGTCACCAATTTGTCTGGTTAAAAAGATCTGCTTGGCAATAAGCTTGCTGCATCAGAGTTGGTGCCAGCGCCGAGGCTGAAGTTTATTATACAAAAATATATCACGTAACAACCATGAGGACTGGCATTGCTATATTTTGTTTGGTATTGTTAGTTCCTCTGAAATCAAGAAATAATCCAAAGTCTTGAAGATCTACATTTGTAGGTGTCAGTCATTATCCTTCCAACTTCTCTGCGGTTTTAAAGTTCAAAGGTTTTCTGAAGTTCGGTCATGGAGAGAGTCTGTGGACATCAAAAAACACTGCCGGCTCATCCAGTGTCGCGCTGTCAATCACAACGCTCGGATATGTCTCTTGGGTTTCCATCGAAATGGTCGAGTTAGTCGAGGGCGTCGCTCCAAAGTGAGGACCATCCACCGACAGGAGCATCGGCGTCCCTGATTGTTTCAGGCTCTCGCTCATTGTTGTGTGCATTTCTTCCGGCGTGACGCCCATCTCCTTACTGTACTCTGAAGGAGACTTCTTCTTAATCCTCTCATACGTCTTGTCCTGATTCTCTGTGAACGTCTCGCTGTCCTGAAACCGTCCAAACAACCAGATGAAGAAGCCAAAAAGGACAAACGCCGCCAGGCTTGGGATAAAGGCCAGACATTTGATGTTCAGGCTGGCCCCGATGTAGCGGCTGTGGAGGAACATGTCCCGCTCCACGTAGGTCCTATTGGTGTTGACATTCACGTTGGTGGAGCGCCACTGGTAGGTGAGCATGCTGTGGTTGAAGTCTGCGAGGGTTTCGGGCTCCTCCACTGTGTAGATCTTCTCTCCGGGCCCAACGTACTGACCATATTCGTAGGGCTTGTAGAAGATCTGGTTCTTCCACATGTTGAGGTCCAGAATCAGGACAAGAAAGATGATCCCGTAATTAAACCACTTACCTGTAACAAGACACGAAACTTGGATTAGGGGGTTGCAAAGGTAATTTACCCAACAGAAAAAAGAAATGCTGTCACTTTCATGCATCAGGAGTCTCTCCCTTGCTTTGCATACAGCTCACGAACTGAAAAAAAAGAGATGTGCTCATAAGTTCCTCTACATTATCTCCTAACAAGATCACTCTATTACCATTAGACAGCCATCTCCTCAGGTTGACTGATAGCAGGCACATGTCTCCCCAGGTATACATGACTCTACTCTCTTCCCTTCCCCAAGATATGATGCTAATAAGCTTTTAGTTAAACCAATCACGTTGCGGTGTAGCCATTTCCATCATGCTTAATGGGTATGCAATGCATTTGGGTTAACAACCTCTCGCAAAATCACTAAGCGCTTGAACGGCTCAACATTTAGCTCAGGAACATTGGTTTTCCCTTCGTCTGAGGGCTGTGTGCGTGCGGCAGAACAAAATGGAGAAACCGGGAGGATGGCCTTTGAAGAGGGAATGTTCTCATTTGCGGAGAACATTAAAACACAGAGGTCTAAGAGATGAGGAGAGTTGTCTTGTACGACAGCGAGAGACACGAGGAAGGCGAGACACGGCTGAAGCTTCAATGGAACATGCAATATAAATGGCTGCTATGGTTTTAACCAATCAACTTGTCCAGGCAGTGAGGAAAACGGAAAATTAGAGCAGTGAGAGCTTGTTGTGTATTCAAAGTTCATTAAAAAAATAAATAAATAGGATGAGTTGTGTCTACCTAAAGGATGTTTTGATTTTTGTTCTTTTTGCTTTGCTGCTTCATCAAATGTATGACTGTTGTGTGTACAGCTGTTTGGGAAAAGATGATCTTCATTAAAAAACAAAACAAAACCCCATTCATTAACAACAGCTGTGCTCCAGTGTACCTGTGATATGAATGTGGTATTCCTCTTTAAAGATGCTCTTGCAGACAGGTAGCTTGACCTTCACGTGTGTTGTTGACATACCAGGCAAATTCATATCCAGGTCACCCATGAATTGTGGAAACTCCCAGTCCTGACAAACAACAAGAAAGAAAGAAAGAAAGAAAGAAAAAGGTCATCTAAATTCAACATACAACTGTGATTCTGTAGCCTAAGTTGGAAAATTGTCCGAACGCATTTAAATGACACGGTGACAAAGAAAAATGTCAGCCATGTATCATCCTTCATCAGATGTTGCACACTTCATTGAAGTCCCTGGTATTAGCTGATATTAAGTCTCCGTGGAGTTTCTTCACACTCCAGCTGGAGGTCAAACATGGTGTTGGCTGCCGTAGAGTGTGGCTCACACTGTGTGTTTACAGGCTTGTGGAGTGGACCAGTGTGAACTGGGACTTCAACACGTCAAAACGCATTAACACGAGGACCAAACTGACATTTAGAAGCTGCCTTTGCCCGATGGTGTCACTTAGCTCCCCCCCACCCTCCTTTCTGTGGTAACATCAGGTGGCTGGAGACTTTCAAACAAAAAGCTGTCACTATCTATACCAAGAAAAGGCAACGGGATTCAAAGGTCAGAGGGGTAATACTACGAAGCAAGTTCAACAAAGCAGGGCTTTTTTCCTTTAACCTGGATCGACAAAAATCTAAAACTCCCTAACAAATTACCGGTTCCACAACTGATTCTGATGATTTTGTTATCGCAGACTTTCAGCTTTGATCTATGTGAGCAGTCCATAAAAGGGCACTCCACAATACATTTAACCATACAAAATACGTCAAATCCACAAATAAAGTAACAATTTTTGTCAATAAATAAAAACTTTGCTCACCTACATTCATAAATGCAGGTGAGCAAAGGCTCACAAAAAATTTACCTTTAAACATCCAGTTATATTTTGTTAAGAGAGAAAGTTTATATAATCTTAAGGGACTTGAGATGTTTATAAAACCTAAAATTCAAACAAATTTGAAGGACTGATGTTCAGGGAATAAGATTGTGGAATAATCTGGAAAGTGATTATAAAAATGTTGGTTCAATGTGTTTGTTTAAGAGAATGATCAAATAAGTTTGTTAAAGGAATATTAAACAGTATACTGTATATCAAAAGTTGTTTGAGAAGGAATTGAAG